CTAAATTAAATGCTGTGTTGAGAGAGATGTTTCCTCGCCCCTCCCCTCCCCTCCCCTCCCCTCCCCTCTCCTTTCCTCTTCTCTCCCCTCCCCTCCCCTCTCCTCTCCTCCACAGAGTATCACTTTGTCTCCCTGACTAGAGTGCCATGGCATCATTATAGCTCATAGCAACCTCCAACTCCTGAGTTCAAGAAATCCTCTTGCCTCGGCCTCCTTACAACTGTGTCACTAGGATAATTAAACTTGTTACAACTGTGTCGCTAGGACTGCAGGTGTCTGCCACAATATCCAGCAGATTTTTCAATTTTTTGGTAGAGACAGAGCTTCACTCTTGCTCAGGCTGGTGTCGAACTCCTGAGCTCAAGCAAGCTACTCACCTTGGCCTCCCAGAGTGCTGGGATTACAGTCCTGAGCCACTGTACCTGGCCAGAGTATAGATGTTCTTAAATCCCCCTTTGCCTAGACAGTGTTACAGAGACAATCTCTTACTCGTTTAGAACTATTTTTGTACCTGATGGGAAACATTTTCCTTTTACCAGTTTTCCTGAGATACAATGTAAAAATCTGTAAATGTATTTTAACTAAAGTAAACATTCTAATTGGCTTATAATCAGAATTTCTTCTCATTCCATCCTTAAACCAAACAGTTTCATTTCTGAAGTAATTGTACACTTTATTTCACAACTAGATCATCTCTAGATAACATTCTCACCAAGAATAAAAGTAAAATGTTATGTACCAAAGCAAAAGAGGTAAATGCAGTGTTTTGGGGGGAGGGTAGGAAGGAAATAAATTATACCCATTTAAGTAATAGATTTTGTCTCTAAGCCTCTTTGGATGAAAATAAAAAGTCAAGGCAAGGCAAGATGGCTCACATCTATAATCTTAGCATTTTGAGAGGCCAATGTGGGTGAATTGCTTGAGCTCAGTCTGAGCAAGAGTTGGGCCCCGTCTCTACTAAAAATTGAAAAACTAATGAGGCCTTGTGGTGGGTGCCTGTATTCCCAGCTACTAAGGAGGCTGAAGTAGGAGGATCATTTGAGCCTAAGAGTTTGAGGTTGCTGTGAGCTGTGACACCACAGCACTCTGGCCTGGGCAACAGAGTGAGACTGTCTACAAAAGAAAAAATAAAGAAGGAAAGAAAGACAAGTCAAGAAAGAAATAAGAAAAGTAAATAAATAAAAAGTCAAACATACCCTAAGTAGTATGGAAATTGACCTTTTCCTAATGACGGTCATCATTCAGATAGCATTATTTAATGCTCTGTACTAAAGTAAAGGCATCTGTTGGGACGTGTGAGCTTGTCTGCTTAACAGTAAACAGCCTATCCTGGTGTATTGTTTTATTTCTCATATAATTTAAATTATTGTTTATTATTTCCCCCTTATTATCAGGCTGGCCTGAAAGTCTTGAGTGGTACTTCTTCCTAATACTGTAATTTGCTTTCGGTTAGATAATTAAGCTCATTGCAACTGTATAGAGTAAATGCCGTTCCAAGGACTAAAATCTACAATCTTTTGTTAGAGATGTGGTAGTGTTTGTTTTCCTTGAGAGTTTTCTAGTTTGTGTGCTTTCCGTTTTTTGCTGTGTTCTGGTTAGTGGAGTTGTGAGTTTTATATAATGTTGTCATTCTTATCACCTGGAATGTGATGTATCTATTTCTTTGTGATTTCTAGAGAAAGCACATCAAAACAAAATAATAATGTATCCAAAAGCTTCAGTTGCCTTATTCTCTAAAATGAGAAGAACGTAATGTGTTGTTGTACTATGCAGTCGTCGCACATCACTGGTTTATGACACATTCCTTGGGTATCAGATGCGCTGCGTCACTCTCAGGAAATGGGTGGTGTGGATAAACTATCCATTTGACAGGCATTAAGTGCCATATAATTCCAAGGGTTGCAGAACATATAGTAAGTATCGCTTTGAGAACCAGCTGCATATCTCAGGTTACTCTTAAAAACTAATTAAATCTCTGCATTCCATTCCTGATCTCTTAGATGAATAGGTGATGACTTCACACAGACACACAATACGAAGGACAGGAGGAGAAACTGGAAACCCTTGAAAAAAGTAGTACGCACCATTTCTTCACTCTCAAACACTAAGATGGATTGGTGCTATTTTAGTATTTAAGTTGTGGCAATGATTATCTTTTATGTGCAAAAGACACATCTTTATGTCCAAGTTAAAGATTTTTGTTAGCCACAAAATTTACTTTCGTACATCAGTAATTTGTAGGGCAAAGAATCCCTTTGAAAATTTCTAGTGTGGGGTCAGCACCCGCTGAGGCTGGCGGGTGTGAGCCTGGCCCTGGGGAGCTAAAACAACAATGACAATTGCAACCCCCCAAATAGCCAGGCGTTGTGGCAGGCACCTGTAGTCCCAGCTACTTAGTCTGAGGCAAGAGAATCACGAATGCCCAAGAGTTTGAGGTTGCTGTGAGCCGTGATGCTACAGAACTCTACCAAGGGTGACACAGTGAGACTCTGTCTCAGAGAAAAAAAAAAAAAGGAAAAGAAAATTTCTAGTTAAGTATTCATTTATTATTTTTTAATTTGGAAATGTTTATATCAGTACAGTGAAACTAAACCTTTGACATGGGATGTCAACAGTTTAGATATCATCAGTTTATTATAAAAGAGAGACATGGAAATTATTTACATGATGCAAGATTTCAGAACTTCAGTGGAATGGGCAGCTTCATGTCAATGCCATTTCAATAGTGATTTATTCAGTCTACACACTTTCCAAGAATGTCACCATCTCTAAATAAGAAATAATCCTTGTCATCTAGAACTACTTTAGTGCCTCCATATTCTGGGAGAAGAACTTTATCTCCAACTTTCACACTAACTGGTTGAATCTCTCCACCTTTTCCTTTAGAGCCTGACCCAACAGCCACTACTGTTGCTTGCAATACTTTTCCTTGAGATTTTTCTGGAAGCATAATGCCTCCTTTGGTTACAGTTTCGGCTGCACACCTTTCCACCAATACTCGATGGAAGAGTGGAAGAAACTTTCTAAATGCCTGTCCTGTCATGGTTCCCACCTCCGTAGCCACCACTCTACTCTCGCCGCGCCGCTGCAAGGAGAGACCCGTTGTCCTCAGTATTCATTTATGAAAATCATTTTGGAAGACACTGACCAATGCATTTGCCTTTATACAAAGGTCCACTGATACATTTATGTTTTTGAAGATGAGTGCAGAAATCTGACAGGTGCTGAAAAAAATGTGAACATCCTAACATGACATTACAACTTATGGTATTTGATCTTTCTTTTCTCTTACTTTCCCCTTCCCCTCACTACTACATTGAATGTGTAGATAAGACCCAAAGTTATTAGGTCATTGGTTGGGATTAGACTCATATTTAAGTGGCAAGAGATGAAAAGAGAGAGAAAGAGAAAGAGAGAATGAATGTGAACATCAGTGTAAACGTAGTCAAAGATGTCAGAACTGAGCGTCTTTCCTGGAGGTTTCCTTGGTAACCTTAGCCAGAGAACTTCCCACCTGCCATGAAGAGCCACATCCTACCACCGTGATAATGATCGTTTGGTAAGTAATCATGCTCTATTGTCTTGTGATGTTAATTCCTAACAAAAAAAGGCCAAGGTTTATTGCCCACTTACTAAGAGCAAGCACTATGCTAAGAGCTTGGCAAGCATCATCTCATTTAATCTTTACAACCGCAAAGTATAGGAAGAAACTGAGGAACACATGTAGCCCCAGGTCACGATGCGAGGTAATTAGCAAGCCCCGATTCCAGCCTGTCTCCTTCCAGAATTGGTGCTTTTAATCTATTATTTCAATCTTGCAATATTATTAATATATTATGGCTTCACTGTTTCTCTGCCTCAGTGTGATGACTGACAGCAGGGACAGTGTCATTTGTATCTCCCTTAGCAACCAGGAATCGTAACTTGCCTGTAGTAAATGTTATAAATACAGGCTGCTCCCGAGCTACAAACATCTGATTACATACAACCGGCACTTAGGAACAGAGGCTATTACAAGAAGTCTTTGGGTTACAAACATCTGATATCGGACTCCTATGAATTAGAGGCTATTACAGGACACAAGTAAATGTACATGTTCTAATTTACATACAAATTCAACTTAAGAACAAACCTATAGGACCTATCCTGTTTGTGATCTAAGGACTGCCTATATTTAATTTTGCTTTAGTTTTTCGTTTTGCAAAGATTTTTATTCTGATATAATGAAATAAGCAAAGAGGTTGGTTTGAATGGATATAATTTATTTGATAAGTTTTGTTGTTATTTGAAGGAAGTTCCATAGTAAGACTATTTTTCCATTTAAAATCTGTATGGTTAACCTTCATTCAGTTTTATTTAGGTAACAACATTTAAAACTAGACAAAATGTTGTAGAGAAGCTACTAAAATTTACCAAGAAAGTAAGATCTGAGGAATCAGTAACAGGAAGTCTTCCTGGGGCTTATGGGGTGGGGGAGGGCTGTTTTTAATCCTTTAATCCTTAAATTCAAATTCTTGGTAACTAGATCTCAGAATTTTTCAGTTTGTTTTATTAATTGCTTTCTTTAAGTACTAAAATAGATTACTATGGTTAAAAATGTATTTTCTTTTTTATTCTAGTGGGATTTCCATCTCCAGATAAAAAATGTATTTTTTTGTAATTTCTTGCAATATGATTTATAACATACTATTTTTATTAGAGACAGAGTCTCACTTTGTCGCCCTCAGTAGAGTGCTGTGGCGTCACAGCTCACATTAACCTCAAACTCCTGGGCTTAAGTGATTCTCTTGCTTCAACCTCCCGAGTAGCTGAAACTACAGGCGCCCGCCACAACGCCTGGTTAGTTTTTGTTGCAGTTTGGCTGGGGCCGGGTCTGAACCTGCCACCCTTGGTATATGGGGCGGAGTCCTACTCACCAAGCCACAGGTGCTGCCCAGAATACTACTTCTTAATGCAAGTTGAGAAGCAACATTCCGTGAGAATTAATAAGCCCTTCCTCTTTTTTATTTTTTAAGTTTATTTATTTGTTTATTTTAGAGACAGGGTCTCTCTCACTGTAGCCTGGAACACCTGGGCACAAGGGATCCTCCTGCCTCAGACTCCTGAGTAGTCAAGACAACAGGTACCCACCACCGTGACCAGCCAGTTTTTGGGGGGGATAGATATGGAGGTCTTGCTGTGTTGATCATGCTTGTCCCAAACTCCTGGTCTCAAGCAATCTTCCCAGGCACCATCCCCCACCCCTGACATGCCTCACAGTTTTATTTAGTCAAGTTTTCACCTTACGGGTATCTTGATTTGAAGCCAACCAAGAGACTAATTGGGTCCTAGACTATGACTTTGTAGCTATCACTTCTAGTCTAAATCTTGCTCAAAAATTTAGGATAAGACAGGTTATGAAAGTCCAGACCCCTGAGCCATCTGTAGTCTCCTGTAAGCCAGTACAACACTTATCCATACCAGTGACCTTGTAGGATGTGCTGATCTAAGGTCAGCTTCTAGGATTTCTGTTTAGAAAACTAATCCTGGGCTCATCTTAGTCTGGACTTGAGTCTTCTGGAGAGGTCAGAATCAGTAGGCCTGCAAGCTTTGGTCACTTAAGTTGATTTTATAAGGTCCTCCTTTTGATAAAACTTTGGTCCTTTGGACACCAGAATGGTAGAGACTGGACAGTCATTTTTATTCTGTGTTAATGGTGGTCTGGGCTTCTCTGCTAATTGCTGTGTCCTTTTGAGCATCTTCTCAGTATTCTTAACTGGCCAGGAAGCTCAGAGTGTGCCAGGCTTCATGAAGACTAGTCTTGAGTAAGGACAGGAGGGAAACAGTCTCCATGGCACACCTAGGAAGCAAAGTATGGAAAAGTGTCTTGCCTAGAGCCTAGTGCAGAATAACCAGCCTGTTGAGCCAGGCTCTGAATCTGGTCACCTGCTCCCCATCACCTCTGCGTTCCCTCAGGCCCTCCACAACTGTGTTCCTGAAGCAGACAGGCCAACTGCAGGAAGTGCAGCGCAGGGAAAAGCTGGCTCCCCAGCTGGGTACAGAGCTAGAGAAAAGGTGGTGTTGATTAAGAGAATGGCATTTCCTTAGCTTCCTTTCAAACACTGTTACAGCCTCCCATGCACGTTATCTTAGTGAGTATAACTTGGAGAGTCTTGAAAACATACGCACTGTGACTTTTCATTGGCATCTTAAGAAAAACATTGACTGACCTCAATAGAATAAGCAATTAATGGGGAAAAGAGCTGACTATAAGTTTCCGCAGATTCTGTTTTGAAAAACAGAGGATGCTTGGCCCTGTAATTTTTTTTTTTTTAACATCAGCTTACCTCCTCTCCCTCCTCATTTATAAAGTTTCATGATTACAAGGTCGACTTTGCAACTGTTTTTGCAAAATTTGAATTGTGCTTAGTTGCAGAAAACTGCAGGCTAGAGAACTCCCACTTCCCCCAGTGGCTGGAAGCATGTAATCGGAACGAGCAGGCCGTGCTCTGCGTGTTTAGAGCTGTGTCATCCTTTGTGAGGCCCTGAGTCAACACCAGCTAAAACAACATGAGTCATTGCTTATAAGAAGCCCAAGCGAGGCTGATTTTGATTATACCAGTCCTAAACAAACACAACAGTCCTCTTAGGCAGATGCTAAAATACGTTCTTGTTATAGAAGTTAAAAAAATTAGCACCAATTCTCTTTAGAGTTCAGGGAAGTGGTTTGCCACTCAGGGCTTTTGAAATATACCTTGAAAAGGAATTTTCTTCATCTAACCAAATCTTAGCCAACTTCATTCTCTCTTCTGTCTCTTTCACTGTCCCCTTTAACACTGCCCACATCCACTGCCCAGCTCCTGATTATTTTAGTCTGGTTGAACTCTGTTAGATTAAAATCCATAAAATCAAAATTGTAATCTTGTAGCTCTTTGCTTATTTTTTCACCAGGGTCCCCCAATCTCTTTATTCCTCTGTGGCATAAAAGGCCATGAAGAGGTTGAATTCAAGTAAAGATGATAAGGGCCTAGGGCTATGGGAATGTGCAGACAAGGGAGTCGTGGATTCTCGGGGGGAAGTGAATTAAAAAGTTGGTATGATTTCGTGATTAAATGTGTGCTGGGAACCAGGAACAAAATGACTTGGGTTTCCGTCTGGGGTGTTATTAACTGAAATTGGGAATTCTGGTTGCATAGACTGTGGATGAGGAAATGGTAAGTTTAAAGTGAACTTTTGAGCTTTAGGTTCTTCAGAGACAGTTGAGCTTTAAAGCCCAGTAGACAGTTGGCTCTGCAAGTTGGAAGGCTGGGAGGGAAGTCTGGGCTGAAAATTCAAAGCTCCTTGTTCATGGGAAACTTCAGCATTGGGGGGATAGTTAACAGTGGGCTTGGATGGGACCTGGCAGGAAAGAGTAATGTCTGTAGAGAGAGTAGAACAAGGGTGCAGACCTGAGCAGCGCGGCCAGCTGAGACAGGGCAGGGCTTAGTCTGAAACAGGCCTGGCGCAGTGGCTCACACCTGTAATCCCAGCCCTCTGGGGAGCCTCGCAGGTGGATTGCCTGAGCTCAGGAGTTTGAGAGCAGCCTGAGCTAGAGCAAGACCCTGTCTTGTTATGGCGGGTGCCTACAGTCCCAGCTACTCAGGAGGCTGAAGCAAGAAGACCACTTGAGCCCAAGAGTTTGAGCTTGTTGTGAGCTCCGATGGCATGGCAATCTGCCCAGGGCAAGTGAGTGAGACTGTGTTTAAAACAAAATAAAAAAGAAGCCTGAGACAGAGACCAACGGGATGGGAGCCTTCTAGAAGCCAAGGAATGCATTAGACTCAGAACCAAGAGCAGCTAAATGACTGAAAAGGTAAAGAAAATCGTCCACTGGAGTTAACCAAGTGAGTATCAGTGAAGGTCTTGGCTACCGTGGGTTTCATGGAGTTGGAGGGGTGGAAGCCGGTTTGCTGCAGGTTCAAGAGTGAATGTGAGGTAAGGAATTCAAGGCAGCAAGTTAGCTTAACTGATGGGAAGGGAATGAGAGGAGAGGCAGACAGACTGAAGGTGAGCTTTGAAAACTTATCCCAATGAGCTGAAAATCGGGTAAAAGTCAAAAAAGAAACCTTAGCATTTCTAAGGCG